AGGGAAGGAACACATCTGCTTTTCTCCAAACTATTTCAAAGCCTCCCCCAACACAAACCCGCTTGTGAACTTGCATTTACTTTTTTGCGTTGCAAACTTTGAATCCCCCCTGCATGTTGCAAGCAGATGTGTTGTGTATCCAGACTTCTCCTCTTTGTGCCACCTCGCTTGGGTTTATGGCTAGATGTGACTTTCCAAATGCCACCCTAAGTAAGGAGTGTGATGTGGGGAGATGGAGGAAGTATTGTTTTTAGGAGCGTTTTAAGGAGGAGTTGGTTCTTGTCAAAGTAAGAGAGATGAGAATGAGGGAAATTGAGTGGCTCACCCTCTGTCTAAGCTATGAATTCACACCAAGATGGCAAGATGTTAGTTTTTCTCATCCATGAGGGTAGTTGCGAGTCCTAATAACTGTGATGCTGGGTTTTAATAGTGCCTAAATCAAGATCTCTGTGAGTTTGGGAAGCTCAGAGCTTTCCCAGGGTAAAAGCCAGGCACGATTAGAACTTATTAGAAACACCAGGTAACCTCCAGGAATAATTGATGCTGTATGATGAATTATTTAGCCAGCGCTGAACTTGCTGTTGGAGGTAGTGCTGCAGAACTGGCTGTGTCTGAAAGAGGTTTCTGTTTGACTTCTCCCTGTGGCTGCTGCAGAGTAGGTGCAGGGGAGGGCTGTAACTCACTAGGGTGGTGTGTTGTACAGTGGGGAGGATGGTGCCACCTTCAACTCCTTCCTTACAAAAAAAAAAATAATTAAAAAAATGCTGAAATGTGTTTATTAACAGCATCTCCTCCTCGTCACTCTTTCATATATGAGGACCATAATATAATATCAGAGTGGGCTGGGCTTTTGTTTAATAGCAAAAAAAAACCCAACAAACAAACCCTGCTCCTTACAACTGGTTTGCTTGGCCTAAACCATGTTGTTTCTTGAGCCATTAACATGTATGTCTCAGGGCCAAGGATTTGGGCTCACCTGGCCTGCACACTAAGCAAATGCTCCTTGGGATCAGGTGTTAGGACCTTGTGAATTCACAGTGGTGGCTCTGTAGGTGACAACAAAATGCGCATTTGTGGCCTAGATTAAAACACTGTCGTGGTTTTTTTTTGGACTGAGGGT